TTGCCTGAAATTTTGCTGGTTTAGTACTTTGATGTATGGCAAGTAGTCTACGCTTTGTGGCCAACTGTCCCGTTTTCGTATCAATGATCCCTCACGAGACCTGCCCTGACATAGCCCACTGTTAGGGGGTGGTCACATAAATGGGTGATGAATTTTTGACGTCTAGTCTCAATAACACAACCACGCATGACAATAATTATTGGACCGGGTCCACTATTTCGCGGTTTCTGGACCGTCTTCACAGTAACTCATGTAAGTGCTACGATTCTTCTTGCGACGAACCGTCTACACTTTCCCGATAGTTATAGCAGCACAAACACTCTGAACAGATGATTAAACTAGAAGCCAATTTACCTATTGGCTCGGAACGTGACTTACCTCCAGTAGCCCCACGGTACATGTTGTCTAGTACTCCTATCGCGTGATCTTTTCATAAGAAAGTTACTACATGTCAGACACACTTCTCAAATGATGCTGCCTGCGCTAATACAAAAGATACCCGAAGTCTATGTATAAACACTGAAATTTGGACCATTAACCGTTTTAACGCCTATTTTCGTCCACTGCAACGAGTGTCCTCAATAGAATTAATCTATATGATCTTTAAACGTAACTTGGTAACCTGGAACTGCATGGATTTAGACACTCGCCATGGTTGCACAACTGCGGATACCTTACCGATACTCCAGACAGCATACATTGGTCCATTGTGGTTACCAAAGCTAAAACTAGGAACTTTCTAATGAATGGACGGTTATATTGCTAAGTAACAAACTGCAATTTAGCTAACAGCGTCGGCTGGATATGACGCAAACGCCAAACGCTGCGTGCTTTCGTCCATAGTAGTGAGACCCATCTGCCTGATGTTGGATGAAAACCCATGCCCGCCCCATGAGTTGCAGCAAGCTTTAACAAGAATACGCACATAAACGGCCTGATCTGTGAATTATTTGATACCAAATAATATTTCGCGAACTTTCATGAACTATCAATTTGAAGACGCTTGTAGACTGGTATCTCTCATGTTAAACCCATTATACGAAGATAATATCCATTATTATCTGGACTTTAACGCTCCGTATAAGCCGAAGAGTGATATTTTTGTTCGCTTCGTAATTAGCGGGATCTCTTGACATTCTCTTCATCAATAGACTCTAATTACATACCCCCTCTACCGTTCGAGACTGATAAAAAGTAGATTTTTCGACACATGTCAATGTGACGATGCCCGTAAACTGGCTTCTGTCATGTTAAATCACTAATGTGAAAATAAAACGGTTAAGCATTTAAAATAATTGTAAAGCCCCTATTACATGTCCACTAACGGTCTGAATCGACTACGAAGTGGCTGCACATGCTGACATCCCTCCTGCCCTGTGAGCGAAACTGCCGCCCCTCCGTTTATTGAACCAATCCATTTCCCACCACCTGTGCGCACCCCGACGCACACAACATCTTTATCCCTACGTCAGATCACTTGAAGTGACTGGCAGTAAGTGGGAACATTCATTGCACACATGTTAACTCTTATGTCTTTACATCTCTGGGCAACTTCGGGATTAAAAAGTCATTCCCTCAGAAAAGAAAGCAACCCTTACCTCTGTCAACCTTTGCGCGCAGTATCGCTATCTGCTGTTGTAGGTTTTTCGTGTTTTTCCTTGAAGGATGCCGCCTCATGTGCCTCTATGATCGTTGCCACTGTACCCAACTGCTGCTTGAGGAACTTTGCTGTTTGACATTCATGGATTGAGCTACATCTAAAAGCCTCACTACTGAGCAGCGGCGAATGGCCCACTCTCTACAGGCCGTTCTGACAACAGTTGTGCTTCGGATTCCTCAAAGATGTCAGATATTGTACATCCGACAAGATTCATGTCTTGCGTCGCCAGCCCTAGTTGGTCTCCATATGTGCCCAGCCTCCTGCTTCCAAACCCTAGCAAGCCTGCGTCAAATCCAACGCGCTGCCAAATTCCTGCGCCACCCAAGCTGGTAGCACCTTCTACATGTCATTTCCAACATCCTTCATCCGCTGTACGCTTTGCCCTTGCCCAATTTGCCAAGAACCGCACAAAAACACGGTCTTTTACTTTGGTTTCTGGGTTCACGGCAATCCGCAACCCTTTCGAAACACTGTAGGAATGCCTAGTTATACCCGTCTTCGAATTCTGCAGGTAAGGCCATCTTCATGTCTCAGGTTGCCAGTGACACCAATGAAGAGAAGTCCAAGGAATTGGTAGGTTCTGTTTATTCAGAAAGTATGACTGACAGCAGTAAAACACTAAACTTTACAGTATAGTACCCATTTGCAGGCAACCGCCTTCTGTATAGACCGCTCATGTTCCCGATAATAATGTCCGCTTTCGTATTTTCCATAGCCCAATCCCTTTTAGGGATTATCTTGGTGCAAACTTGACAGACGCAAAGACCAATCACTAATTATTCGATCTTGCCATATACCCACGAATGCGAGATCAAGGAAGAACACGATAGAGAAGTCGGATGGAATAGTGTATTTGGATGGTTGTGCCAAGTAACCGATGCGTTCCAACTAACTGGCTAGGGAGTCGAATACGAGCAGTGCAACGTAACACGACAGCGTGCCAAATGGTGAGGGTGCTTGACCGGGTGCCTTCAGCTTGGCGAGTTCAGTTAGACTATCAAGGTCGGCATCGATGTCGAAAGTCGTCAAATCCTGGGCCATTGATTTTGGGGGAGTGTGTGACGCTACACCTTCACCGATCGTTCACTATCACCTCCAAGATTGTGACGCAGGGCAGAGGCATACATTCTAAGAAGCAGCTCTCATCGTAGTAGGAGCAGATCTCCGTCTACACCTTCGGATGAGTGTTGTGCAAAAGAAGACGAGACAGAAAATCGTGATAAATTATTGGCAAATATTGCAAGCAACAAGTAATGGACAATTGAGATTTCAGAAAATCAATAGCACGCTACAAATCGGTTAGACAACGGCAATCTAACCACCACATCCACGAGTCCATTAACGTGATAGTACAATTGTCATTCTAACGAAAATTTGTGTGACGACAGCATGAAACCCACCGGGTACTGAGCTATGACACTGCATCGAACAGACCATAGAAATCTTCAGATGTTAGTAAGATCCCGTTGTTTCAGGCGATTATCAAACGATGAATAGTGGGCATTGCTCTTAAAACGGGGTGAATCGGGACCTACGGTCCCACAATTGTAGCAGACCGCACATTAGTGTGCACAAGCTGAGCAGTAATGCCAAAAGTCACAAAAACCGTGGCCGACCACGGCATCAGAGAATACCTAAACACAAAGCAAGCCCTCAGAGATGCTCATCATGGCCTCCGAAAGGGCAGGTTCTGTGCCTCCACCCTCCTGGCGGCCTATGACCGCTGAACAGTATGCTGGGGTCTCAAGGTCAAGGTCCGCACGATTTTTCTGAATTTTACCAAAGCCCTTGACACTGTCTCGCACACCATCCTAGTAAGCGAAATGGTTGGGTTGGGCACTGGTGGCCAGGTGCTGCCGTGGCTGAATAACTACTTAGGCAGTAGGGAGTTCTGCACGAAAGTCAAAAGGGTCCGCCCAACTTGAGGAACATCCTCGTCCTGCTGTTCTCGAATGACCCTTCGATGCATATCAGCTCTCCAACTCTCCTCTACGCTGACAGCATCAAGTTGTGGAGGATAGCGACATTTGGGACGAGATCGAATGCGCTACAGAAAGATCTCAAAACATTCGAGGAGTGGGCGACAAATGACGAATTAGCGTTTGACCTGGATAAATGCTGGTTCATGTTTCTCCGCACCCATAATCTGCAGAAAGTACTCCCACTCTCTCTCTGCGGTTCACATCTATCTCACACCACAGCAGGAAAATACCTGGGTCTAATGATGATGAAGAAACTGGACACCAGTTCCGATTAGCTGGGAGATGCCTTAAAGGTATGCAGTGTACTACACTTTGTGTGCAGACAACTAGGTACCCTAACCTCAGAGCTCGTTTTGAAGCTATCAGGCCTGCACATGACGCAACTTTGACGTCCATAATGTCTTCGCTTCTCTACAACTGAAAAAAGACACGGACCTACTGGAGAAGGTTCAGAGGCGAACCACAAAAGGGGTCTTTGGGATGCTACAAAGCCTTATGAAGATGGGCTAAAAGACCTAGGCCTATACTTTGTTAGTTACTGCAAGTTACGAATTGATTTGATAATGACTCGCAAAACACTAAACAGCTTAAGTCACCCAACATAGAGGAATGCTGCTAGCTGGCCACTATAGTGATCCCCGCGGGAGCCCTAAGAGAATTGCCCACCAAAGATCCGAAACTCGTGTGCGTTCTTACTTCTTCTTCCCTCAAGTCTCTGGGCGGCGGAATGTACTACCACCAGATATCGTCTCCACCCGATCTGTTGAAATATTCAAGGAAAGGCAAGATAGTTACGTGGAGACCCATGGTTTACGCACATCTAGTTGGAATACAAAGTAGGCCGAGGAAATTAACTGCTGCCATACCATTCCAACCATGCTACCCCCGTACCAGTTTTATTCCCACTGTAATCGTTTATGCTCTTTTCATCGCCTCCACTCGCTATGAGTTAGTCTCACCTACCTAAGTTCTACATATCTTTGCACCCCCCTCACCTTAAGGTGAATGCAGATTACTCCATCAGTTCACTTTTCTTTGTGTTTAACTCACACAAATTTTTCTTCCTAGGTTATCCTTTCGCTATCCAAAACTATTTCTGACGACCAGTCCGAACAACTCTCTGGCAACTCAACATCTGAAGAACCCAACTGAATTACAGTCCCAGGCAACTTAACCAATTTCCAGCCTTCTGTTTCGTATACCAGAGCTATAGCAGACGAGTGGCTAGACCTACTGCATCGGAGTCCGCCAAAGATCCGGAAACGTCCCTCAGGACCGAGAAACGAGCAGGAAGAAATCAACTGGCTTACACAAGCTCGTTAAAGGGCTATTGGACACTGGACCGGCTTGTAAGGCGCAGGTGCGTTTTTAAAAGTAGACGATGCAGTAATAAAGCTTCCAGGTAAAGTTGTGACGTATAAAGTATTCATCGGCACTTTTCTAAAGCTGTCCGGATTGGTACTACATGATTCCTCAGAGTCCTAGATTGGAGGTAATCCGGTTGCAATTTCTTACAGAACTATGTGAATTATTTCATCCTTTGACGACTTTGTGTTGACATTGAATGGTGCAGTAACGAAGGCTTTTTTCAGATTCGTTTTTAACTCAGAAATTTAAAGCAGTGGTCAAGTAAACCTCTACACACAATTGATTCATAAGTTTCCAAAGTTTCTGACCATTTATTTATGCCTAAAATAGTAATATATACTTTTTAAAAGTTCATCCAAATGTTTGCATTACATTATAATGCTATCGATTGGTTATAAAGCACCTGATCTATGATATGAATGTAAACAATCCCAGGCCTTCTCTCTGTGGCTCTATGATCGCTTATTTTATTTTCTGTGTAAGGATCTGAACAGGTTCTCAAGGACAAGAAATTTTATTGGCCTACCAAATTTCCCATACAACAAAATGTGGGGGAATAGATGGGATGCATTTAAATGACGAACTTCGAAAGTTTCACATTTCTTTCTGCCATGCCATGTATTACTGTCGCCCAGCGTTTCTCCTGTCTAGCTTTTAAGTTTGCATCTCATTTCCTTATTTTTATCCATAACCGTTTAGTTCTGATCCAATGTGTTGTATAGTCTCATTCGTTTCCATCTATCATATAACCGTTCTCGCACTGCGCCAAAATCTGCAGTTAAAAGGTAATTTTGATGTGGTAGAGGGACAAGTGGTAGTTTATACCAGGATTTGTCTATAGGTACACTGTTCCCCCCAACTTTGTTTTTAAAAGTTCTTGAAATGTAGTTCAACAGAAATTTGCAATCATAAACCATCAATGAAGTGCCATCATGTACACCTTGAAGTCTGACCTTCAAATTTGACATTCGGAGTGAAAATAAACTAAAAAGTCGTCTATCCCGTTATCGAATATGTTATCATGGCACAGAGTCGTTATTCTAGAAGTGCATGATGAAATTTATATTACTGTACGAAACTTTTCTCACTCAAGTCCTTAGCATTCTGTAAAAACAAAACAAAACTCCCGTGATAAGAAATTTTACCCCTCATTTCTTTTCAAGCACCTGACAAATTATGATTTAATTGCAATGTGGTGTTAAATATATCTGGCCCCATGTTTTGTCTACTATCCGGCTCAATGTGTCCTGCATTTCATCGCGAGTTCGTCACGATTTGACTCATGGTTTATTTTTAGCACCAAGTTTCTCTACAAAATGTTGACTGAGCAGGTATGACAAAGTTTGGAACGTACAAATAATGAGACTGAAGCAATCTGTGGAGTTTGAAAAAGTTGTCGGTGAAGGTAAAGTATATGAACCGAAACCAAAAAACATGATCTTGAGAAGTCAATTAGATTGTGGATATAAAAGACCAGGATGAGATTATTAAGTTCAAATAATAATATAGGAACAAATAAATGGGATGGTTATTTGAATTCATGAGGCCCAATATTGCCAATCACATTTTCAAGCAGTTCCTCTAATGTACCTCCCGTTTACTATACCTCCCCCTCAGATTACCTAGTACCGACTTCTCTTCCTCTTCCTCTTCTTCAGGATCATTAACTGCTAACAAATTTCTGTTTTCATGTTCTTCAATTCCCATGGAAGTTGTACTCATGTATTTTAGGCACGCTTCATGCGAGCTAACCATTCTTGGGATATTTCGGGTTAGTGATGTATAATTCAGGTGAAGTTGGGTATGTAGTGATTTCTGGGGGCAGGTGGTATGGTTTAATTGCCACTTTTACCCAGTCAGACAGGGAAACAGACAGAGAAAGCATCAGCACACGGTAGAAGTCAGCAGTAATTCATGGTTATTAGGGGATACTGGCCAGAACGAGACTATGGTTGGTTGGATGAATCCCTGATAATCTCTCACAACAAGGGGCTTGAAATTTGGACAGAACACTTAAAAGCACAGTTCGACTAGACCAGGTCAGTGCTTCAGTTGCCCAGCATCCAGCCCGAACATGGATGGAACGTAACTGTCCGTGTTCCATCTGTCGTAGTTCATAAGGCTGTTTCGAACCTGAAAGGATACATAGCGGTTTGCCTAGCGAAGCTTTCAAGGAAAGAAGTAGGAAGTTACTAACTAGAGCAATGGAGATACTAGGCGGCGCATGGAAATCACGGGAAGTCTCATTGCACTGATCTACATCACTGATTACTGCAGTCGATAAGAAGGGAGACATGTCTTGTGAGGTCAGTTTGACTATCCTCGTGTTCAAGATCCTTCGGTCCATAGTTATCCGACACCCAACTGGAGACTGGGAACAGCAGACTTCAACAAACCAGTTAGGTCTTAAACCTAGACAGGGGTGCATTGATCAAATCGTTACCTTTCGACCGGTTGTGGAACGCAGTCATACTTACCGGCAACTGACACCTTCCATATTTCACCTAAAGACGGCATTCGAGTCTGTTGGTCGTGAGGTGTTGTGGCAGTGTCTCTCTACCAGGTTGGTTACTACCTCCCTAACTGTGACAGGAATACGAAAGTTGGTGGCAGTATCCCATTCAAGTTATTGCTAGATAGTAGTTGATTGAAGGGTAGTTAGAAATCCAGTGTTCTGTCATTTGCGTCAGTTCCCTACCCCTAAGTTGTATCAGTGATTCATATTTCTTGAAAATAGTTCTGATAACTGCTGTTTCCCATTTCTATCTATTTCGTCAACTAGCCTTTTGCTTTCAAGTAGTGTCTGTTAGGTATGCCTATATCCCCTGTATTCCATTTACCAACTGTACGTTTCGAACCATTTTTCTTTGCGCTTTTTTACCACATATGGGTCTTATTTCATACAACCCACCAGCGTTCTGATTGGCTCCTGCCTCTTTAAATGCATCAATTATTCCTTGTCTTAAAGTTACTACAAACTCTCATAAGTAGAGTCCGTTTTTACTGATAAACATTTTCATTTTGAGACTATGAACTCAATTGATTACCAGTCTTCTGATTCCCGTCTACGAATCACTCTAGTCGTTTCACCCCTCAACTCTCGATCATTTATTATTATCTTTCTCACAATTCTGCATTGAAATTGAAATTTAGTTCGAATAGTTTCTTTTATATAGCTTTGTTTCAGTATACTTACAATTCTGTCTGAAGGTGATCAACCTGGGTTATAATTCGTCATTCTAATAAATAGGATTCACGCACAAGTCAGTCATGTTCAACTCCCAATCTCTGTTAAAAATATACTTCAGGTGACTGTGCTTAAAATATTCATGAATCATGTATATATACATGTGAATAACTGATTCACAACGTACTACCGTTTACAAAAATGAAACAAGTGAATATTCTCTTCGAAAACCGAATTACTTCCATTGACTTTAATGAGCAGAAAGTCAGTCCAAAACTGTAAATCGTAGGGTTATGAAAACCGGATCAATAACCGACTTACAAGCTGAGCTATTCATTAATACTTTGCAGTACTTTCTTGACCAATTGCCTTTTAAGATAATATAATGCGAAGCATACAACTGAGCAAAGTGAATGGTTAAAAACCAAGCAGACTGATCTGTAGGTTTCGCTAGCCAGCTCAGAGTGATCTGAGCACCGGACGGTCATTGCGCTCGTTTTGGGCCAAACATATCAGCGGCACGCCCGAGTAATTCCAGCCCACAGACCCGAATGATAAATCTTAGATTGGATGACCGGTGATATGAGCAGTTCGACCGTGTGAGCTGAACTTGTCCGGACACGCAGCTAATAAGCTCGGTCGCGAACTGGCGAAACGGCTGTCTGGTGTTTAGATCATTCGTTAGTCCATGACATCTTTGTACCAGAGGTCACACCTTATGATCTTGGTTGGGTGGTTTCTAATAAAAGCCTTTTTTACACCACGGTTGGGCAGTTCAAAAATTACTTAACTGTGAGAAATGTCAACCTGAACTATGCAATCTGCTACTAATTTATAAACTGATCATAAAAGAATGCCACCGGCTATACTTTGTCTATGTATTGTTCTATTTCGTTGAACATTTTTTTTACCAAGTGATTTTGGTTTACGTCCACCTTATTTCTATAGATTCATGTCATTTTCCTTTTTTAACTAGACATATTGTATGCATAAGAATCGAAATTTCTATTTCTGAACTATTTTCTTACCGGCACAGATGTCAGCTGGTATAGATCTCGTCCAGTGTTTCGGAGACACTCCGGTTACGTTTGATGAATTGACTTCAAAATTATGTTATCCATTGAGTAAATTTGAGGAATTTTCCGATACTCCTGAACTGCATCAAACTCTTGCCCATGCTGAACTGATAGTTTGTCGAATTCGAGCTTACTATAATCTCATTCAAGAAATTTGCAAACAATCTGTCAATGTAAGTCTTTCAGTTTACACATGTGTTCGTCCTTCTTGCTTAATTCATTTCAAGTTATTTGCTTTCATTTATTCTAAAACTTAATAGTTTGTAGTTTTTCATCCTCGATTCTTAGTGGTTGACCTTTTATACTTCCAGCCGCTGTAGTAATACATTTTTGTAGTCAATTTCTTGTGAAATCAGTCATAATTTTATCTTTTGTGGGTACCAGTTCACAAAGACCAACGCGTGTTTCAGAAGAATGTTATGTACGGAATCGTTAGTATTTAGGAAATATATGAATTCAGTCAAATTAATTATTTTCCTTGAGCAATTTGTTAGCGCGGTTAATTGACGTGGTGATTGACCTAGTCGTGGACCATTGAGTTTGGCTGCCAACCTTCAGCGGATATTTTGTGGTTCTGAAAACAGCTCCACCTACCAAGCCTTTAGTAATCGTAGAATTATGAGCTCTAAAACGCCATATGTTACTCATGGCCTAGTACGCTGATATTGAAGAGCTGTTCTGTGTAAAAGTCAGTTGAAAATACTGTTCTATGCCAATATTATGTTAGAGTTTCATTCAGAAATCATAACATTTATTTGCCTCATGTTGAAAAGTTCCAGAATTCTTACCCACTGGCTTGTTCAGATGAGTAGCGCTGTTATCTATTGCTCATTTCATACTACACAAATCCTTAAGGACTTACTGACTTGTTTGATCATCATCGTTTCCTGTCGTTCGGTATGTAGGGATATGGCTCATCGGTCTAGGCGTTTGACTGTAGAAAGTAAATTCTGGGTCTGAATCCTGTCCCAGCTATTTGGTCTGAGAAACTGAGTAGTATTATCAGCTGTAACACAACAAGCCTATTACGTAAACCTTATATCAAACTGAGTTAGATTACCTTTATATCAATCCACCGTTTGAGTGAGTGACAACATTTTCTAAGACTTATATTTACTAGTACTTTCTTTACATGTGCACTGAGTTGCGCCCCGTTTTTTTTCTAGACCGGTGAAGCATTTTCCTCTTCTCTGTTAAAATTGGCCAAGTGTATTGATTTGGGCGTTGATCAAAAACAGTTATGGGCATTCAATACAGACTTCACAAGTGAATGGGATCATTTGGGGACTCAAAAGATACTTAATCATGCTGCTCACCTAATAACTTTATTTGCCGAACAAACAAGAATGCTAGCCACAAAGATATTGGATATCGAGACTATCTTAACAAAAATTAATGATAGCTTAAACAAACTGCAAGATCTTCGGTCAAATTTTCAACGTGCTTATGAACGCCTAGAGAATGCTATAAATCGTGCTGCCTCAGCAAGTTCTTCACGATCTCCATTAGATTTACAAACATTTGACAATCAAGTTAAAGAGGCTCAAGAGATATACCAAACAACAGCAACAGTCTACTTATCACATATTCGTCAAATGACTGGACCAAATTATATCATTTCATATCTACGACTGATTATATTAGCATTGTCTGTTCAACAATTCTATTCTGAACAAGTGAATTTGATATTTGATAGTTCCAGTAAGATAAATACTCTCACTTCTTCATCGTTAGTAAACCAAATCAAAAAGTTGATCACAAATATTGAAGAGAAATCAAATGTCATGGATTCTGGCAAATCTAAACCACTCAAAACTCCAATCTGCGAGATGAAAGGTGAAGTAAATCTAAGCACTTCGCTAAATCCCCGTTTAGAAGGTTATTTATTCAAGAGAAGTGGAAAGAAAGGTTGGCGTACGTGGGCTCGAAGATGGTTTCGTGTAAATGACAATCAATTGGTTTATTGTAAACGTTTCCCTGGGTTAACATCCGCAGATCTCCAGTCTGCATGTGATACTGCATTTTTGGAGCTTACTCAAAGAGTAAATGCACTATCTTCTTGTACTAATCGACTGAAAAATGAAACAGACGCCAAAAACTATCTTGAAAATAATCTTCCGACGCAGTTGTCTTGTCAAGCTGCTCCGCGATGGACTGTTATGGAGACTAACCTTCGATTTTGCACAGCTCGAGTTGTTCAACCAAATAAGCGATTAACGGCTGGAGAGAAACAAATGAATTTATTGCATTATGTTACAGATCGTCGATTTGTCTTTGAACTGGTATCATCAGGACACCGAACATATTATTTACAGGCTGGCAGTACTGATGAATTGAATCTTTGGGTGAATACATTACAGTCTGGTCTTCATGAACTCTATCCGACTAATTTACCACGTTATCTAAAAAATGAGGGTTTGAAAGAGAGCTTTACCAATGATTCACTTGATTTACTGAGCTCATGTAGCCCAACTCAAATAAGCTTAGACTTTTCCAACAGTCCATCAGTTAACTCCATGTCAGGTTTTCGTACAAATGACCCCTTTTCTCAAGTCTCTCAGTCATCACTTCCAGACTACGATGCACTAAAAAACAAGAGTGGAATTTTACTCTGGCGCGAACCTGATTTGGCCGGTAATCGTTGTTGTGCTGATTGCGCTGTTGGAGATGCAAGATGGGCTAGCATTAATTTAGGCGTGACACTGTGTACTCTATGTGCTGCAGTTCACCGTAGTCTTGGTGTTCACATCTCAAAGGTGAGCTGATATTATATTATTTACCTTCGCTGTGCTCGTTACTTATTTTCGATTCGTCGAAAGATTTTTTTCACTATCGAATAAGGATTTTATACGGCTTATCGGTTCGATTGTAAAATTAAATCCGCTTAGTGGTTAATAGTTGTTCCACAGTTCTACAGGTCAGGAGAAGACATTTGTTATACTGACCGCTGTTCCGAGAAAATTTAGATTTCACCACAGCATGAATTAAATTTACCGAACGAAGAGAGGTCATCACTTTATTTTTTGGATTCATTTCAGCTGCAGACAAACTAAAATATTCAAAGAATCAGGATAAATTCATAACATAATTTAGTTCTACCGCAAGGAGAGTAATCAAAAAGTCTGTAGTTCCAGGCTCAAACATAGTCCCTACCAACTACAGTAAAAAGCACTAATGCAAGAGGAAAACTTGAGCACTGTTGTAAAGTTATATGAATATGAGCAATGAATTCTGCTCCAAGCGTCATCCAGTAAATTAAAGTGTGTCACTGTGTGCTATATTAATCAAATAAACGATCGTATGTCGTAGCATAAAGCACTGCATTTATCTTTAGTTGGAAATGCAATTATGCAAATTTGTGTTTGAAGCTTGAGAAACAGTAATAAGATCATCGAATAGAGCACATAGAAACAGGAAAAAGGTAGGTTATGTGATAAATAAAACGGGTAATTAAGTAGACACTAATAAAATGGTTAAAAACTCGTCCGAAAATATTAATCGAATATGAAAACAAAGAGTAATACAATTGAGTTATCCAAATTACAGTTACCAGGGTAAATCTCAGTTGATAATTGATTTTTTCTGGATATAAAAGTCATGTCAAGTTCTTTTGATAGCTAACAACTCAAATCAAAGCAATGGCTCTGTTCTCTATTGATTGATTATTCTAAAAGCCATAGGGGTGTTTACGTTTTATTGTATTGATTAAGTGCTGAAGAGGTTTAATGAACAGCGCTTGCGATTCTCCAGTCTCACATTTTCTGGCATATATCAGTCAAACGATATAGGTGCTCGTCTCTCCATCCTTCCAATGTACTTGCTGTGAAAAGTGTACGAGAATTGTTTTGTAAAATTGAAGGTGACAGCTATGTATTTATCTATCGTTACACACAACTGGTAGTGTTGTACAGAAAAACAAGCTGTAACTAGGTTGCCTTGTGATCAATTGCACCATAGCTTCTGTAGTTCAAATATCGTCCAATTCATTTGTGTTTGTGATATTTTCTCTGAACTGTTATCCGTTCAGTGAATGTTTAGATTCAAATAGTTGGAATGTTTATCATCATAAATTCCAGTGTCAAATTGATGTTTTGATGCATGCCATTGAAGATCTGAAATAATTTAGAGGTATGATTCATATCCTTCTGAACTAAGAACAAATCGTCATTCACATGTAATGTGTAAAATGTCCTGCTGTTAATTGATTGTTTCATTCCATTCTCTAAGTTGGACATAAATGTGTCAGCGCAGATTAGATCAAGCGGACTCCCCAGGGCTACACTATAATTCTGTTTAAAACGTAGATTTCCTCTTTGGTTTGAGATTTTGGATGATGTAGATCAGGATTGATCTCAATGATACCGGCATATTGAATTTATTTTATTGTAAGCAATTGACAGCTTAGTTTTTTTATTCATAACCTTTCATTACTTGTTATAACTTTTTGATTCGGTGGTGGTTGGAAACTTCAGTCTATACGGTAGAAAATCAGTCTTTGTAGTGCAGATGCATTCTTGTCTTATTTTGAAATCTCATTCTACATTTTTGTCTGATGGTTTCTAACAACAGTTGATGTGATCTTCAGTTTCACTACTTCTCTCCTGTCAACTTTCACAAGAGAGTTTTTCTGCTCAGCTCCCAGTTCTGTGCCGGTCTTCATCTTCGTGGGTTTTATCATCCAAAAAGCTGAGGGATCGGTCCAGTCGCCGAGCAGGAAACATCCTAGCAACGCATCCACATGAAAAAGAACACTCCTGCCGAAGCACTCTGTTATCACCCCCTCAAAACTGATCTGTGTAGACCTAGAACCTTCCCAACTGTTGGGATTCAACGCACCCACATTCGCCGGATAATCGTATAGTTTAACCGTGCTCATCTCCTTGCATGCAGACATGTCTGAGATACATCTCTCTCGGTCTCCACAACCCTTCAGAAGAGATACAGCTCACTTTCCCCGAGGACTGTTTCTCTCTCACGAAAATTTCACACACGAAGTCTCCTCCTAGGTTACCTTTATGACCAAGACTAAGGTGAACGACACTCGGCGTTCCGGACTAACTACCTTACACCTTCCCAAGGCATACCACATCCCCTCTCTAGGAGCTGCTTCAACAACGGTAACTACCGAAATTAGGAATCTGCATTCCTTTACCTTTCGGCTACACCGCGGTCAGCGTACTGGACAGAATCCTAACAATTGACCTGACTATCTGTGCTTTGAAGACCTGCGCCACTGATCTGCACATATGGATCTTGTTGAACGTTAAGTTAACTTTGACGGTGGATTGGTTGATATCCAGTGGGGTCGTGTGAAGGCCCACTGTTGTTCCATAACTAGGCTCGACCAGTAATCACTGGTGCACTTAGCATCTCCAGTTTTCCTGACCAGCAGCTCAAACACCAACACTGCCTAATCGTGTCGTGTAGGGCTTCTTCACGTTGAAACTCTTGCATGTGGATATAGTGGAGCCACTTACCTGCCTCGGGAGAGTCATAGTTGATCCCGTCAGCTGATGTTATCTTCAAGTTAACTACTTTTCTCTCGTTAAATTCCACAACTATGTATAGATCTAGAGTATTGCCACCCATACCGATCTCAATCATGTTGGGTGGTGTGTTATTCATGTATGTCTCTGTGCTTTTGAGTTCCCCGTGCTGTTGACAGCTTAGGACGTTATACGGTAATGCTAGATGATGCGTTGACAATCTCTGTCTGCTCTCTACTGTTTGGCTTGAGTACTATGGTAACTTGGCTTTATGTTATGCGTGTACTCAGACCACATGATCTGTTTTACTATCTCAGTTTCAAATGCCAAAAAAGCCATACATAAGTTTTTCATACCGGCATCTTATATGATTTGATCAAGTAATACGCTATTTATACACTACGTGATCGCACTATACTATTTATACAGAACACACTTTGGTAGCGTAATGGAAATCGATGCGGTAGCCATATGACGGTAGTTAACAGGAGTACTTACGACGTGTCATCATCACCATAAGGACAAAATTTATTGTTTTATTTGTCTCGTCCTATTATTATCATCGTATTATACTTTGGTACATGAAAGCTTGTAAACATAGATGTGTCATTTAAGAATTTACTATTGCGTTTCTTCTTCATGGCTCCATTTTTCTCTACTTTGTTTTGGTCAACCTGTAGGTTAACAGACATACACACAAGTATGCATAGAAACAAATTACAACTCAAAGAACATGCTTAATCCTTGACTTCTTTTTACTATGGGGATAATTAGAACTAGTAACGGTTGCAGTGTTTGTGTTTCCTTCAGTCTTTGTTTTCATTTTAAGTTGATTTTATGCTCAACGGTATTTAACTTTGAATCATAGTTTGTACGTCTTCTTACGACCTCCAATCTCAGTAGATAATGTTAGACAGTGTAGGTGTAAGTCCAAAACGTTGTATCGGTCAAACTAAGACTTCGTCAATCTACAATATCATTGTTAAACTGAGCTCTCTGGGAAAATGTGAACTTTGTATCTGTGTTCCTTAAGAATGAATTACGGTCGTGTGTAATAATAACTGAAGATCAGTCGGACTATTGGAAATTGATTCATTCTTTTTAGTACTCTCTCTACTCTTGTCTTCCTTGTTGATTTCGATTTCTTTTGGCTTTTGTTGATCTATTCTTATATACTTTTTGCCTTAGTTCTCTTAACTGGTACTATTTGCTTTTAATCATCATTGGAAATTCCTTGGGTCCTTACCTGGCCCTTACCAAATGTGATGTAACAGTCTTAATGTCTGCTTTCACTGACTGCTGTAAACATCTGATTCATCAACTTTACTAGCGTTCAACTTGTTAGAAGTCTCCAAATGATAAATGTATTAGCGTATCAATTTTTGTCTTTGGTCTTAAGGAATTTCTCAGCATAGATTGAATTCCATTTTAGTCTGTTTATTAGAAATGTCACACAGTGAAACAGTGTCGTTTGCTGGATAACGTTTCGGACATAATTTTCCGCCCATATTCATATCAGGTAACTCCACAACTTTGAGACAGAGTTTATATACGGCGTAAAGCATGAGATAGCAAACTTCATAACTAAACGTTTGAGATTTGTTGTGTACCTTGACCTCATTCCATTTGAAATCGATTATTTTCCTGCAGTACTGGTATGAGAATGATACCTTCCGATGCTTGGCATCTTTTCGGTATTTGTCAGATATACTGATAAGTGGGGGAAGATTTACTAGTCGATTGTATTGGTAATTAGTGATATTAGTTGGTAATAGCCTAAAGTCTGTGTTAGCGGTATAAAGTTACTGAGTCTTATAGCTACTGAAATGAATGAATGAATGTTTGTCTATATGTCATGTATTCAGTGAATACAATATATATTTATTGACACAGTTTGATGTTTTTCGTCATTGGCATATAGGACCTAGTTGTTTAGTAGCTATATCAAGAGGGTGCCCTGATGTTAACGGTTTATTTCGCTTTGATATCCTATTAGTTTTATCTGTTTGAGAAGGTCGTAAGTATGTCCGGTAACTTTGTGTGTTCGATTACTATTGTCTCTACACAGTCGATGACATCTTATGGTAACATCGCATAAGTAGTTCTCAGTTTTGGCGTTGTGTTAGAATAAGTAGATATCATCACCGAAAAGGTGAATTATCTTGAAATACCGGTTTCTGTGTTCCCTACACACGTATTATAAATGTCATTCTGGCAGTTCTCGTGCTGTTCCTTGTTTATTTTTGACCCGCTACTAAACGGAAGAAACGTAAACTTGATCATTGTGTAAAGTAGCACTATGGAATAAACGATAGTTGTGTTGTGTTAGCGTATCTCAGTTCATTAAGACTCTGCGGTGGATCTGAGAGATTGTTTAAGTCAGTAGCTGTGGATAATATCAGATATAACTCAGAATCGAAATCAGTGGGGGTCACTTTGAAGTTTCGTTGTATCTTCTGTCTTCAAAAAATAATAGGAAAGTGGTAGGAGCTTTCTGAATTTATCTCCTATGGTTTGCTTTACCTTCATTCATCATTCTTAAAATGCTGTATCTCTATCTGTCTCTTTCTCCCCTTGTATCGTCCAAGTACGATTGCATTAATTTGTTTGGGGCCTTCTTTACTCTCATGTTGAAATGAGTAACTGTTGTTCGATAACTTAGTAGTGGATTTCAGCGTAAAAACCACTGGTCTTCGAATTCATAGTTGAATAACGTTTCGGGTAGAATAAACAGTGTGTCTTCAATTCAACTGCTAACCACATCTAACATAGAAAGTTTTATTTTTCTTCACACCATTCTTCCTTTTATTTTATTCTTACAGGTTCGATCACTAACTCTTGATAATTGGCAGCCAGAGTTATTGCATGTGATGCTCAATCTAGGTAATAAGTTTGTGAATGAAATTGTCGAAGCAAATCGTCCTCACCATAGTGTTCCAGAGTTTCCTCGTCTGTCAACAAACACACCATTCGAGCAACGTAAAGTTTGGATTGAAGCCAAATGGGTTCGTTTTAAATTTGCCCGTCTTCCTATATCCACTGGGGAGGAAGTATCTGATTCAACAGAAGCTGTTCAGTGGATTAAACACTTGTACGATAATTGGCTTCAAACACGCGCTCAAACACGTGATAATTTTCCTGAACTTATCCACCATCCTACGTCATCGTCGCCATCATCTATCCGAGAATCGAATAGCTTAGATAAGAAATTAACTCGGCATAATATGCGTCGATATGCTATCCTAAGTAAGCACAATAATTTGTCTGATAACCTTTTGAGGCTATTCATAATCTTTAAGATTTTTTTCATTGGACATCGTTGTGTCGAAAGATAACTAATGTATAACATGTTATAGTGGGATAACGAATAGTTGTGTTAGGTTGGCGCCTATCGTCACATCAGGACTCCCTGGATGAGTCTAAAAGGTTATTTAACTCAGTAGCTCTAGACAATATGACGTATACATAGGAGTCGCAACCAGTGGTGATCGTATTGTAGTTTTCTTTTGTTCTCTGCTTATACAAAGCTGAACAAATGTAGCGAAAACTCTTTCGAAAGCATCTTAGGAAAACAAGTATGTGATCACTGTTGTTTCCTTTCTTGTCCTACTTCTTTTCAGTTTCTACTTCAAAGTATTATCGTATTACTTCTTGGTACTAATGCTGTATCAAGTTTGTTTTTAAAACTAATAATAATGACTTCGGATGAAAACTGCGACTTACCGTTTAAGGTAGTAACCAGTTAACCTAAACGTTCCCTGTTAGGTTCTTCATAGAACGCAGGTTAGCACTACTGATTAATTTTGAAAAAAGTACAGTAGCTGCCTGACTCAAATTTCCATTGGTTGTCCAGCGGATAATTATTTATGAAAATAATCCTCAAAATAAACACATTTAATCAATAATTTGACATACATTTGTAAATTTAATTTTCAGACCAGTTGATGAATATCATCAAAGCTTTGCACGAAAAACATACGTCTAACGCTAAAAATAGTTCCAGAGTGCTATTTCGATGTGCTGAACAGCTAGCTGCAGCAGAGAATTTAGTTTGTTTTGGTGCTCGTCTTGGTTGTCCGCTTCTTATCTTGTCCGGTCTTGCTGGTGGAGCTAGTCCGGATGCAAAACTGAAAGTTGGAGTATCTTCTAGTTATCCACCGTTGATATTGGCTTCCCGTACTGGTTCTATAGCAGCTAGTGAATTTCTCCTATTGAATGGTGCAGACGTAAGTTAAAGGAATATGTTCAATTTTGTTTTCGCTTGTTCTGTATTCTTACTCACTACTTGCTGAAACTGCAGGAAGTGGAGTCAAGTTTTAATCTGCGACCAATTACTCAGTATTTGAGTTCTGAATTTAAAAAAATGACGTATCTGGATAGTAAATAACCGGCCTCACGTCTATAAATCAGTGGTGACTGAAGTTTGCAATTAATCGTCACAAAGCTAGAGACTTGAGTCGATCGAAATAAACTAGTTTTGTGCTTACTGATATTTAACAACAACATGTACAGCTCAGTGATAGCACTTCTGACTATGACATTTAGTTACATAGATCCAGGCTTCACTTTCCAAAGGGTTAGTGTTACGTTTCAAGATGCATGAAATTTGCAACTAGAAATTCCTGTCACTTTTCGCCTATTATCTGATAACATCAGGATTGTTCATTGTTTCAAAGTGGTCATCAGGGAAATCTAGATAACTAGAATATCTCATAGAGTACAGTGTGTACTATAGTACAGAGTATACTTTGAGAGATGAAAATCTTTGAGAATATGAACCTCGCTTATTGATATCAGTAGGTGCAAAATGTAGGTAAATGGCTCCATTTGACCGTTCATAAGAATTTAGTACGTGCATATCATTTCATTCTGTCTGATATCTATATTCATTGTGCACTGAGGACTACAATAGTTTAACCTTGGTTTTAAGTCTTGTAGGAATCAAGGCTTTCCTTTTTTTAGGATATTCAGTCATGAAATTGAATAGCACATTGTAGGGTACATTTTCACCGAGTTACTTTGAAGCAACATCTTTTTTGAACAGGCAGCCTAGGACAATAGTGCATCAACTTACTTCGCTACTCTATATATAGTATAATATGGGCAATGTTGTTTGATGCGTAGATTAGTCAGACATTTGATAACAGTGACAATGTGAATGGTGAATACATTATTTTCACCGTGGTCTGTTTTGAGTTATGTCCCCTAATTCATATTCAAGAAACGTATATTTCCCTAAGACTTACAGCAAGATTTTGTAATTTTATAGACTGTTGTTTACTCTGTTTGTTTTCCCTTCCTTCAAATCAGTCAACATTGGGGTGTTCAGTAAATCAGAACCTATAGATTTTGTCTCATTTCTGTAGTTCATCGATAACTGTTAAGCATATTTTAGTGAGAGGTTGTTTGCTTTTTACTTTCACACCAGAATTTATTGGAAAGTTATCAGATGTATCATTCATCGGGTCTGATGCTTGGTAAAAGATATGTTAAATCCTACTAAAAGTTTTATTATGCACCATAGTGGTCCGTTGTATTTTACTAACTTTTCTTTCGAAAACTAGTTTAGGATTCCTTTACACTATTTTTTATTTTTTGTTGTCGGTAAATAGATTGATATAAGAGACGATCAAGGTCGGACTGCACTTCATCACGCTTGTCGATTTGGTCGAGTACATTTAGTCTGTTTGTTATTGCGACGTCGAGCCAATCAAATGATCGCAGACAAAGATGGGAAATTACCGTTAGATGTGGCATTAGAATTAGCCAATGCTGATATTGTGACCTTGTTACGGTTGCAACGATTAAATGAAACTGCCAAGGTAATCTATGGAAATGACTGTGTTGTTAATTCTTACGTTTGAATTTCAGAATATCCATCTAGATATGTTCGCTCGCCAAACAGTTATGTAATTGCCTACTAAATGTGTAATACTTCGTTCACGTAATAGATGGCTTATGGTTTACTGTGAACAGACCTGTTTCTACTCGGCTATCTTAACTGCGCCACAATATATCCTCCAACGATGCCATATATATATCATATACGCAATCTGGAAATGTTAAGTGATGCTTAAGGATTTATTTGAACTGTCTTCTAGCCTAAATGTAGCGTTAATTCATTAAATATTTTGTACTAGTATTTTATGCAGTACTATCAATTGGGGAAATGTTGGGGTCGTTGTTTAAGATTCAGTGTGTATCGCAGTAGTGGATGAGAACTAGCAACTGAAATTACATGAAATGGAGGAGCTGGTTGAAACATAATAGTAATATCTTCGGAGTACTGCTTACGTACAATCAAGCCACCAAGTAAAGAATCATTAAAGAAAAGCAGAATGACATTAAATAAGTAAATCAGTCGCCGAAATTCTGAATCACTTGCTGTCATGTGAATTCATCTACACCTTGTCCTCCTAACCATTATACAATATTCGTTGTTTGTTATAACTCCCTTTTCTTTTTGTGATATAGCTTTATACAAATTTCACTACATTGTTTCCATCTCTTTATTTTCCACTTGAATGCTTTTTCTCTTGGTTTAGTGGTGTAAAGTCTGTGCATCGTTGTGTTGTGATCCCGGTTTACATGATGACATTGATTGACTGCCTAAAATTCAGAAGTTCAATAAATACAAGTACATCAAGCTTGCCTTTCATAATCCAATTTACTGCTTACGTGAACCGAATTTCGTTGACTGAATCAGTTGTAGAATGTGAAACTTATCAGAATAACTAAAACAATGTTTCAGACGAGCTTAATGTATAACCGCATACAGGACCGCATCCATGCAAGTTAACACACTTCATACTAGCATGCAAATAACAAGTGAGTAGAAAAAGAGTGGAATCAAAATAGACGAAGGTGCACGGGAGGAAAAAGAATTCAATAATCAAGGTTAGTGAGAACGTTGAATCTCTATACAACATCAAAGAGCAAATACATTCTCACCATTGTGACCGATTTTCAGACATGTTGCCAACAATCTGCAAACGTTGATTCCTATGATCCCGGGGACTCCAACCAAATAACCTACACCTCCATACACGTCTCAGACCAACAGCCAGTGACTGTATGGACTGGTGCCACTTCTCAGTTTGACCATCCTGAGTTTTACTCCAACTCAATCCTACTTCAACCAACATTACATGTCGAGGTAGACGGTGGTTTGGCATGCTCAACACATGTCCAAGCCAAATCAGTCAGCAAAGGTTCACGAACACATCGAATGATCCGCCTTACCTATCCAGTACCCTTCTCCTAAACTCAACATGCCACGGAGACACATATGGTCGAAAACTTGCAATCTCTTCATGTCTCCTACTTTCAACAGCAATGTCTCACAATCGCATAATAGGACAGAGCGGATTACAGCGCACTATAGTCATACGATAATAGGCAGTGGGGTATCTTATCAGTCGCTACGAGAAAGGACGCAAATTGACAGGTGCCTAACAGGTCTTCTGTATCTGAGCTGAAATTTCGTCACGGATCAGCCCGTTCAGACAGATGCTGTTCCCCAAGTTACTGAAATGGTCGACACATTTTATCACTTCACTATCTATCCTCAGAGTGGATCAATTTCTCTGAAGTCATAGGTATCTGATGTCATTTCCACCAATATATCTGTAATGAAGTTGGACAGACAAGATGACATCAGGCATCCTTTCTGGACACCACCGGTTGTCGTCACTTCAGATGACAACTATTCATTAGTGCTTACACACCTATGGGAGTCCGAATGAAGAGGTTTGGCAAGCGTTATACAATTTCTTGGTTCTCTGTTTACTGTACGACACTGCCACAACACCTCATGGTCGACGGAGTCAGATATCACCTTCAGGTCAAGAGATATAGCAACATTCGGGTTCTGGTAGACATATCTGTGTTCACGAACCAGTCAAAGGGTGAAAATCTAATCGATGCACCCGTGTTTGTGTGAAGACTTCTCTCCCTTCTTATAGACTGGAATGATCATTGAATTAAATCAGTATGATAAGGCTTCATTTGGTTCTCTCATTCTGCCTAGTTCTTCTGTCGCTCTACTCATTAACTTCCTACCTTTCTCCTTACAAACCCCTGGTGCCAAACTCTCTGCTAATTTCTTATCACCAAAAATCAACGAACTGAGGTCTGGCACTACTCGATGTCGGTTCAGACCGCCTAATGAAGATGCAAGTCGATATGAAGAAAGACCAGTAAACGGAAATGATGTGATCAAAAGCTTTAGAAAGGTATACGATGAAAATAATACGAAAAGTTAACCCAAATATCGAAGTCTGATGTCAAGATTAAGATGAAGATAAGCATTGAACGGGTCTATGCTGGTGCACTCGATTTCGAGTCGTGTGATATATGGTATCCCCACGAATTTTAATTGTCGTATTAACCTAAACCTGGAAGACTTTATTTCTGAACGTGCGTTGAACCAGCAGTCAAAGATTTCGTGGATTTATGTCCTTTCTTGATCTAACCACCCTAAACTTCTTTCTAAACACATACTACCTCACCTAATTTTGCCCATCGAAGTAGGTATTCGGTAGATATGGGTTGTAGTCACCTCAGTAGATGAAATTTGTACCGTCTCACACCTTTCTTGCCTACTACTCTGCATGCTACCTCTGCGTCGCAAATTTGTTTGCACCTTACGCAAGTGGTGTTACGGAGAAAACAGTAGTTGAGTAGCTGAAGTCTCCTATAATTATGCCACCTTCTGGCAATCTGCTGTACTAGGCCCTCGGTAGGCAACTGGGATTTCACCGTCACCATAGGGAATATCAACTGTTAAGATTCAATCAAGTTTATCAGTGTGAGTAACTTGTGTGGTAGACTCATTCTGTTGATACTGGATGATGGTTGAAGATGAAATGAAACTCTGGGTTGCTACAGGATTCCAACCTGTGGCCTCCGGGTTACCGGTCTAGTGCTCTACCAACTCATCTACAAGACCCAGCTGCTGACCGGGCCTTAATTTCACTTCGGTCATCAAGGAGTTTTACCCAGCTGTCATAGTAACCTATGATACGTAATTGTCCGTCCATCGTAATCACACTGGATGCTCAGCCAGATATTTTTGTTCCCATCCAAATCGAGATGAAATAGACAGAGGGAGCGTCATACAGATTATCAGTGTGACTGAGATAGTCGTGATTTAATAGACATGTATTGCTGATACAATGATGATTGAAGGCGAAATGAAGATCTGTGTTGAGGCAAGATTCGAGATTTTTTGATCTGTCTAGATTTCGTCAGTCACTGACCTAAAAGGTTTGATCCAACTACCCAAGTAAATAAAGTTAACGTGTTTAACTATTTCACTTCCTTGTCCTCAGAAGGAACATCAGTGTCATATGTTACATTGTTCCAATGTTTAACCCATTGTCAGTTTGAGGTCAATAACCTTTAAGAGAACATAAATATGTAGGATATTATCAACGTCCAACCAAGGAATCAATCGCAAAATATTCTAAGAACTTAATGTAAGTTTGTACCTTCTCACTAAACCATTCAAAACTAGTTGGAAGAGAATAAATTATATTCTTATTCTCACGAATATAGCCAAATATGAGTGTTTATTGATGAAATCAGATGCTTACACATGATTGTTTAAAAAACTATACATTACTTTGCATTTCACTGAAATCACACAAAATCAATTGCGTTTATCCTGAATCTTGCTTCTTTTTTTCTGTATGTTTGCTTCCTTCATTCTAAAATTCCAGTAGTGTTTTACGGTCTTATTGTCTAGTAGCACTAAATTAAATAATATAACAGTTAGGTGTAGCTTAGTAGTAGTAACCAAGTGCATTGAGTTAGTAAGAATAGTTACCCATTACACTGATACACCATCCCATCAGGGTCTACGTCTTCTAGTTAGCCAGTGTGGATATGTGGGGTTCGAACTCGGGGACCAGTGACTGAGAGTCATATATATATATATATATATATATATATATATATATATATATATATATATATATATATATATATATATTTCATGGTTGATTACTTTTGAACAAGTATAATCAAAAGTTGGTGAATACTAATCTGTGTTCAGAAAACAGTGTAAAATTTGGTTTCTAGTTTTGATTCATTTTTAATTTAGTGTGGAATACTTTCTTTAATGACAAACCTAGTAAGAATTATTACAGATTTGACATGGATAACCCAACTATATTGTCTATAATTCAGTGATTTCAGCGATTTTACTTTCAACTCTCCACTGCAATGCGGCATTCAGTATGGTTCTCTAGCCGATGTCGATCTGTGATGAAAACTGTCTTGAGATGTATTGGGCCCTATAAACCCCTAAATAATGAGTAAAATATTGTTGTCTTTTAGTTTTCATTGAACAAGTGTGGTTGACACAACTTCTATCGAGAAGCTACACATTTTTATCAGGGAAAACGAATCTAGGTGTCATTCGAGTGTACGTAATAAGATTGCCCTTGATGTCAAATGTTTAGAGAGTGTTGCTAAGATGTCCTGTTTTAACTGGATCTCGTACATGTTGACAATGATTAGCAATGTTCTCATTTATGATTTGCTAGAGGTGTTTTACGAACTCTTATCAGATAACTTAGCACTCATCTATTCTATTATGGCTGATGTCTTCTAAACAGTGATCGTTCACTGCAGATTGACCATTATTTATGCTGCTGAATTCTCCTCCTTGGGCTTTCAATATCGTCACTCCCATTTTACAATTGTGTTATTATCTAAAGAAAAGTTAGTGTTGCATGAATTAATTCTTTAATATGAAAACTAGAAGATATTTAAGGCTAGTAAGTCCATTCCAAAACGAAGGACAAAGAACGTATTG